GTAAGAATTATATTAAGTATAATAAGTAATAACTGATACTTTCTTTGCCGAAAAAATATGTCAGATTCTCACAAACTTGCAAACAATATATACGTACTTAATTTTTGTTTCTAATAAGTTGGTCGTTTTCTTTATATATTGATTTGCAAATAATTGTTTACTTTTTTATTTTTTTTTTGTTTAAGCAGCTTTGAAGTTTGAATAGGTAATTTATAGGAAAGATGAATTTGGTCATGGACATGTCCGCTCAATGGCGGAGCCGGGAATTTTATATAGAGGTTTCCTCTTTCAAAAATTAAATAAATATTTAAATAATTTTAAATTAGAAAATATCTAACTAATACAAGTTACAACAAAAGTCTACGGCGTGTTATAAAATATACTCAGTGTCTGGATGGCTCAACAAATATCTCCATCTTACTGTACAAACATTCACAAACTAAATATGTTATTTCAACACCTGCAGTTGCAATCGGTAAAATCAATTACTTTGAGAAGCAAGTAAACCAATGGATATGATAGAATGGAGGGAATAAGGATAACCCGTAATCAGGTTCAATTGTTAGATTTTTAAAATAATTGGGAGAAGGAATATCATTTTTACTATTAAACTAGTCACGGACCCGGCCGGTTGGCCGGATTCATTTCCAAATTGTATAAATACTAAATAGGTATCAATGTCGGGTTCATTTGTGAATCGTGTAAATAGGAGTAGCATGAGTTTCGCCTGTTTTGTTAGTTTACAAAAATCTAGGTCGTTGAAATTATCGAAATGTAAATTTCTTGCTAGCGTAAAAGATTCCTTATCTTTACTCATCGTCAGTGTCGTGCTCATCCTCATCCTTCATTATAGGTGCGCCCATGTCCATCGCCGTCACTGTTATCACCAAATGGAATGATAATTAACTCCGTTTTGGTTTGCTCAACATCAAAGTCATAACACGCGAGCAAATATGGTGTGTAAATGTTTAAGAACTTCACCTTGGCCCAATATTAATTACTTATGGAATTCTTGGATTCGCGAGTAGAAGGTCGCTCCTAAAGAGGTGAAATTAATTGTACCTACAAATTTAGCAGTCGTTTGATTAAATTTCGGTTAGTTAGTGTCAATGTTTGATCAATGAAAATAAGGTAATTAAGATGTCGCCTTACCATTGTATGGAACGATGCATAAGGAAGTAATGACCAGGATGAGAGGTCGGTTGCCCGCATTTTGAAAGATTGAATTTAGTTGGGCGACTATCCTACCAAAAAGAATTACCTTGACGACCAATTCCCTATAGTCAAATTGTATATTAGAGTTGCGATTAGAGTTAAGAGAATTCATTATATTTAAAGTTAAGAATAAAAAGAGTTACATACTTGGAAAGTTTTAGTTGGAGCTCTCTGTGTGTAACCATTCTGGTTAGTGTAGTAGATATCATTAAATCTGAATCCTTAATAAGTTGGCCGACAAAATCTTGTAACAAATAATTGATAAAAGTAAGTTTTTGGTTGTCCATGCAACATAATATTTTTTATTCGAGAATAGTGCTTAATACCTGAAAGATATTTCCTTTGGTCGGACTTCCTCTCGATCTCATCTTCTTCGATGAAGTAAAATTTGTAAGCTGGTATCTCTGGAATTCGTCGGATGCTTTGCCCTCTATATTGGATTAAAACTTGATGACAAATTTGTTCGGGATTGGGCTATAATCTCCCATTGTCATATTGACCTTAAAGTTCTTTATAGTGTAAACTCTTTGATCCCGAAACAGTGGTCGGAAGTTATTGATTTGCCCTTTGGGAATTTGCACCAAAATTTCATTACCATGGGTTAAAAAATAGTCGTATCAATAATTGTCAAGGCATTGAATCACAGAGATAATTTTTGTTGTTGATTGTTTACCTTTGAGTCGATATCATATTGAGACAAACTCGACATTGATGTGTGCTTAAAATCGCAGTAATAGGTATTTGTTATAAGGAACAACAAATCAATTATCTAGTGAGACCGCATTTATCGTACATGATCTATTGTTCTCGTTACGACGATACCTTGCAAAACCATTGCCATCAATATATAGTTGTTTGGCTGCAGAATTCCTTCGGAAAATGTTTAGAAGATACACCATTAGTTGTACATGGGACTTTAGGTCATTGAATGGCACATGAACCATGAAACATAAAGTTTGCAACTACTTCGTAACATTCAGGATCTGTTTTAGGATATGGAATTTGGTCAATGGTTGATCAATTATCTTTCAACTCGAACTTATGTGCTTCAATTTCTCAAAAAAAAAAAGAAGATTACACGTGTTGTTGACTACTGAAAATCTAATGTTAAAAATTATAGCTATTACATAGTACGAGGAAGTCAGCGTACATGTTTATACTTTAGAAGAACCGGTCGATGGAGAAGAAGAAAACAACTATCACGTTTGTGGTCTTGTAGTTATGGGTCGGGGTGGCCATCGGTTTGTTCCGGACCGAATCGGACCAAATTCAGAGAATCGCGGTCCAATAGTAAATTATAACTTAGGACCAAGGACTGGACCAATAGTGCATTCGTCCGTTTGATCCGCTTTGGTCCGGTCCAAATGTAAACTCGGTCCATTTTTCTTCAGTTTCAGTATTTATAAAATTCATGAGACCCAGTATCGGACAATATTATAACAGTAATAATATTCCTACATCCTTACCGAAAGTATAGTTAGTAAAATACGGTAGGGGAAAGTTATGTAGAAAATATGTACATGTATTTTACTTCGTCTCTAAACTAATGTTACGTTTAATATTACGTTAATAGTCATAAATCTATAAAATTAATTATTTTGAAAATAAATAAATAAATAATAGTAAATTTAATTCATTAAATACGGATATCAAACCTGTTATACATGTTTTATATGTATTTAGTAGGTGAGTCATCAAATGAACCGGAAAAAATGAAACGGCTTGAAAATAATACGAATATGAAAGTTTTAAACGAATAAAATACCTACGGGTACATATACGTGTATTAAACGTAGTATTTACTATTACAACCCGTAAAAAAATATGAGCCCACATCTTGCTGGAATTTGTGTCTTCATTAATTTGGCCCATGTAATTACGAGCCTCCACAGTAAACTCACATATGGTGGCGCATGTGCCCTTGTGAGTTAAAATTGGTTTTACCCAAAATCTCCTCCTGTGAGATGCGCAGAGAGCACCAAAAGGGAATTCAAAGGGATTACTACAAAGAAACTCTATATAGTATTGTTAGGACTAGTGTTTGAAATACAATAACAAATGAGTTGTGGTCTAATGAAAAACATGTTTACTAATAATCTTAGTATCCTAATTTAAATAACCTAGTCTATCACTTATATTTTTTATCCACGCAAAAACTACTACCGGAATTGTAGTCTTTGAAATAGTAATTCAAGAGAGGTGTGTCAAGAGACAAACTTCTTATCAAGAATTTTTTTTAAGAAACTCATATTTTATCGGTGTAAAAAAAAACTTAATCCAAGATCTCCAACACAACTCTAATAATTGTAAATTTGTATTTGACATACCTTAGAAGAATTTTTTTATTATAAAGCTATAAAAACATATAAATATTAAATACACATTATTTATTTCAATTTCTAATTACAATGCAATACATTAATTTTAAGGGTTAATTGCATGGTTGGTCACTGAGATTACAAAAAGCGTTCATGTTTGGTCACTAGAAATATTTAAATTCAATCTTGGTCACTCAAATTAGTTAAATGGTTCAAGTTTGGTCACACTCCGTTACCTTCCGTCAGTCTCCGTTAACACCGTCAATTATTTGCTGACGTGGCTAACAGACTCAACTAGTCACTAATTTTTGACAAAAATAAAACAAAATTCAATCCTGCCACGTCATAAAAGCTTGCCACATCATAAAAACCTGACCAATGTGACCGAACCCATTAATCCATGATCTGACCTACCCCAAATTAAAACTCAAAATTGACCAATCCTCAAAATCCCTTGCCCAGAGAAGACGACCGGAAGAAGCTATTGCCGCCGACCTGTCCAATCCACTTGTTTCCCCTCTTCTCCTTCCTTCGACAAAAACATCAACGCCACGAGCACCACCAACTCCCTCTTCCATTCTTCTCCAGTCTCTAGCTCTCTTAGTGAAAAATAGTCGGCCAATCTTCCAATCTTCCCCACCAGTCTCTTCAATCCCTCCTATCGACCATCCCCAATTCCTCCATCTAGCTCTGTTTGTATAGTTAGATGGAGATATTTGTTGAGCCATCCAGACACTGAGTATATTTTGTAACACGCCATAGACTTTTGTTGTAACTTGTATTAGTTAGATATTTTCTAATTTAAAATTATTTAATTATTTAGTTAATTTTTGAAAGAGGAAACCTCTATATAAAATTCCCGGCTCCGCCATTGAGCGGACATGTCCATGACCAAATTCATCTTTCCTATAAATTACCAATTCAAACTTCAAAGCTGCTTAAACAAAAAATAAAAAAAAAGTAAAAAATTATGTGCAAATCAATATATAAAGAAAACCACCAACTTATTAGAAACAAAAATTAAGTACGTATATATTGTTTGCAAGTTTGTGAGAATCTGACATATTTTTTCGGCAAAGAAAGTATCAGTTATTACTTATTATACTTAATATAATTCTTACCATTGGAAGACATTTAATCCCGAATAAAGGTAAGAAGAATAAGGGAATGGGAACGCGATTACACTATGCATTTATATAATTACCATATTTTCATTTCCAGTTGTCACGTAACTGCACTACCATCTTTTCTTTCCGATCACAACCAGCCAATAGATCTTCACATCTCTCAAAATAGTTAACCTAATACGATTATTTGTTTTCTTGACATCCTTAATTCGTCTCTCTACCTACTACAAGGTTTTGTATATATATATTAGCAAGTCCGTACGTACTAGAATAACTTCGTCTAGAGAAAATTATAACCACATTCTCGCTTTCGTTCTAAGGCGCTCTCTCGTCAGTAGATATGGCGCCATGGGCTGCTGTGATAGTTTTGACGCTGATTTGGTTTACTGCATTGGACCACTATGGAGTTTGGTGCCACAAGTTGTCAGCAACGGAGAAACTAAACTTGAGAAGGCAGTTGAAACGTTTGAGCAAACCCGCTGTTACTACGATCCAGGTAATCAAGAAAACTCTCATTAGTATTTTTGGAGTTCCATCGTCATATCTTACAATTAAGTTTCTTGATTTCTTTTTTTCCTTTGATTCAAAACAGACAAAATACGGTGACACATATGACTGTGTGGATTTCTACGAACAACCAGCCTTCGATCATCCTTTATTGAAGGACCGAAAGTATGAGTTCCAAGTATGGTGTAATAAATCGTCTTATGCTCAATTATTTTCTCTATCTTAGTTAATTTTCATCTCATATATATATATATATAGTACTTATTGCTCAAGAGACGAGTTGTATGTTCTAAATTTTCTGGCAGATGATCCCTTCTCGGGCTTCAAGCCAAAAGGTTGATATGGATGCTTCTGACATCGACCCATTTGATATATGGGTAAATGGTAAAGGATGCCCATCAAACACCGTACCAATAAGGAAAATGGAACGAAAGGAGCTTATTAGAACGAACATGGCTGCTAAACTAGCTCACAATATTTCAACAGATGCAAATCAAGGTGGTCGTGAAGTAAGTTATCAACACTTTCCCTAGGTTTTTTCAAACAGCAAAACATGACTATGTTCATAATTCAATATGTAGTGATTTGACTGCTTTCTAGCCAGTAGATCTAGTCACAATTCATTTTTAATTAAATTCGTTACCTGAAAATGTTCCTGTATACAGTTTGCTATCCTCCGGACACAAGAGTCAAAAAGATATTATGGAGGTGGAATGATAACTAGTGTGTACCATCCTCAAGTTGGAAAAACTCAATACAGTGCCAGTCGTGTCAAATTTCAAAACGGTCCTGACAGTATTGCGGTAGGATGGACGGTAAGTACTTGTGGTGTCATTAATAAATTTGTAAACCGTACAAACACCATCGATAATTTAGTCTGTTATTTTGTGTCATGATGCAATTAAAATCTTAAATACTCATGTATTTATGTGTGCCTAGGTTAATCCAAGCTTATACCCGGATGGTGGGACTCGACTCTTCATATACACAACTGTAAGTTTTGTTTAATGAGAAGAATTATTAAAAAAAAAATCAGCAAAGGCTTATGATTTTTCCTCGCCCATTTATATATGAGAAAGAAAGTTCACTCATATGCAACTGATTTTCCCCTTCTTGTGATCAAGACCAAGAATTCGAATTGTTATAACACCTACTGCCCCGGATTTATAATCCTGAGGACAGACATACCTCTGGATTTGCTTCTCAAACCATACTCTACACCCGGGAAAACAACATACGAAAAGAAGGTGTTCGTACGCAAGGTAGATATTATCATATAATGATCTATGAATAATCATTTGTGAAGCATCGAGTTTTTCTCAAAGACAAAACTTAAGAGTTGTGTTTTTTTTTTTTGTTTTCTTGAAGGATCCCGCAAACGGAAATTGGTTTCTACAAATAGGAATCATTAATGCAACCGTTGGAACCTGGCCACAGAAGATATTCACGGGACTGTCGAGCTTTGCGAATTACATAGATTGGGGAGGAGAAGTTTATAGTCCAGCGGGAGTTGCTCCTCCGCAGATGGGTGCTGGTTATGTGCCTGTAGCTCAGAGGCTCGATTATGATTGCTATGGCATCCAAGTTACCGTCATAAACGACCAGGAGAGAGTTGATTACGATCCTCCATCATTGAAACGTTACAACAGTAGTCCGAAAAATTATTCTTTGATAGATGAGGGAAATCATGGAGATATTTTCCAGCGGATTATTGTCTTCGGTGGCAATAGTAGTCCTTCTAATAATGAATAGATTTTTGACGCACGCATAATAAGTTGTCGATCTGCTTATTGTTCTCTTTGCTGAAACAATAAAAGACTCCACGGTTTTTTGGCTTTTGACCTATGTGTGCATGTTCAATTAAGATTGAGAAACTTAATTATACTATTGCACCTACACTAAAAAATGGTCTTCTTTTTTCTTCTCCTGGGCAGAGATGTCTTTTTTTTCTTCTTCCTCCCTATGAGGGAACGAGGATGGATCTATTTGTTTTATGTTATGGACTAGAGGTGTTCAAATGGTTACTATCGTAATTACTAAATTCTATTAATCATGTAATACAATATTATAATCATGTCGATTTAAAAAAATAACTTTATTAATTTCACTTTTCCTAGATCTAAAGCCAAGCTTAAAATGGTTTACCGGGAGAGATTGTTATGACAGTACTAGTGTAGTCAAGTTAGAGTTAAATGTAGGTGCATTTGAGGAACCAATTTCATGTCATTGAACATTTGGAGTTGTTTTGACCATTTTTATCAAAATTTCACCATGGTAAAGCTACATATTTAAAAAAAATGAGTAACAAAATATTCAATTGAAAAAACTCAATTAGTTTGGGGACAATAACAATAAGAAACCACCAGGACAATCTCTACCTACGGGTAGGGGCAGCGATAATGAAAAATTGGTCAATTGGGATGGGGTGATGCTACCTATAGGTTATCTTTGTATTGGAAGCCTGGAAGGAATTTGATTTCTTGATTGGTTTGTTATCTTTTACTTTTTGTATAAAATTATTTGTTTTAATAATTTTATGCCTCAACTCCTAAACGTCCAAGTCGACAAGTTCACGTGTAGTTTTAATGGGCTCTCTCCAACAAACATCTATTTTCCCTTTGTTAAGCCCAAAGCAAGGGTGTGCATTGGCACCCCCTCATTCTGTGCTAGCTACGCCTCTGATCATAACCAAACCCTTCAAACTAATACAACATTCAAATTAACCAAACTAAAGTTTAATTGGTTTGGTTGATTGGTCAACCAGATTAACTAATATAATATCATATTATCATTAAGTGAGAAAAATTTTCGGTTAATACATCAATTCGCAATTTATATAATGAATAAAACATAACAATCCATTCATATATAGTTAATCTTTAATATACGTACATGCAACTAATACAATTATCTTATAGTCAATAGATTTATCACCAAACAAAATATATGCAATGGTATGGGTTAATGAATTATTGTGTTTATGTGATTTGGTTTAGTCTTTTAGCAATAATCATAGGCTGAAAAGATCTTCCTTTCAAGTTTTCATCCAACATGATGTATGAGTTTTATCTAAATTAGGCGTCCATATGTTGTGGTCTACAGTCTACAAATAAAAATGTACACTACAGGAATAATATTGAGCTTTATATTTTATGAGCCTAAAAGGGAGGAAGCGTTTGACTCTTGAGTGGTTATGCAAAGTATTATGTATGTATATATAATATGGTGGTGTCTACGGTGTACTCACTTTTTTGGGTGCATTCAGTGCACCCGCCTCATAATCGTCATTTTGAGTAGGCGATTCATGACAAAAGAATGCCAATCATTACTTGTGATATGATAGACATGAAACCCATGAATTTACCAAAAAAATCATTAAATATGTACTTTGATCTGAATGATTTAGGATTTAGGGATTTAGGTTTAGAGTTCACATTTTGGGATTTTGGGTTGGTGTTCAAAATTGAAGGTTTAGGGGTTTAGGTAACTGATTGATTAGTTGTGATCCTTTATTATATCATCATATTATACTAATGTTACTAGTTAAAATTCAACATTTGATGTCTATCGCTAACTTTAGAGTTGGGTGCATTGAATGCACCCAAAAAAGCGAGTGCACCGATGTAGCCACCATATAATATATATAAGATATATAGTAAATTACTTAACTGGTTAATTTGATTTGATGTAGCCACACTGTCTGAAACCAAACCACCTAATCCAAACAAGCTAAAAAATTTAACCAAACCAATTAACCAAAATAACCAAACTAAATTATCCATATATTACCGGTTAAAACGGTTACCAGGGTAACCACTTCATTTAAACACCCCCTACTGACTAGATAGATAGAGTTTGTTGTGTCCTTCGACAAAGATAGAGTTCAATATAGATATTAAAAGACACTTAGTAACCAGACGCGACAGTAAACAAAAATTCGAGTTGTCGATGAAAGGGAATTAGAAGCCACTAAGTGGGCAGCCCTCTTATACAATCTAGGAGTAAAAGAACAAGAAAAAGAAATGAAGCCATGGGCCGCTAACTGAATCTCCTCCAAGATGTGTTTGCTGATGTTGTGAGAAGAATCTTGCTCTCGAACTCACCGGATCAGTGTTTGGCAATCACCACAGAAGTTCACAATAAAAAAATCATGCACTAGACACCAATTAACAGCATCTCTTAAGGCCAATAATTCCATTGTGAAAGCATCTGTGATATCTGGATAATGTTTACCAACTGCAAAATGCAACTCCCCAGATGTTGTGAAAACCACAAAGCCAATATCCCCACCCTGGCCTTCCTTCCAAGCCCCATCAAAACATACCAGAATACCTTCATCCGGGCATGTATCTCAACACCAAGGTTAAGTGTTGGATTGTTCGTCGGATGCCACAAGAGCATCTTGTCTCGCCGTTCCTTGCTGCAATGTCAAGGGGGAAGTAGCCGATTCCCATTCTGCCACTTGAGCTCTGAATTGGCTAAGAAGAGCAGGACCGTGGTATTGAATGCGTTTATGCACTGCCCAACACCACGAATTCAACACTGGCCAACAAAGAAACACCAAAAATGACATGAGAAGTGACTCGTCCCAAATATCACACTAAAAATTCCAATTAAGGCCCAAGTATAAACCTTAATTGGATGCAATATAGGGAAAGTATGTTTAAATATCAACCCGGGTCGCTCCATCTACCCCTACTTCAATTGTTTGAAACATTATCTAGCGGTTGGTTTTTGGTGAAAACTACGATCTAAGGTTAAATCAATTTGGAAAGTAAATGTGTTTGACTCTAGTTGAGAAGGCTTCACCCAGGTGTTGCTCCCCCTAGCTAACAATCATGATTAGTCGGATCGAATGCTCATGTGTGGTAAATGCAACTAGTGAACAAACATCACTCTCTCGGTCAATAAGCCAAGGGAATCCGATTCAAGCTACCAATGTATCTTCAAAAAGGAGATTTAACTCTACCTAGGTTAAAATGGCATAAGACATTGAAATGCACAAACATGCTCAATCTTATGAAAATACCTCATAACCTTGTATTAAAACACACCCACACATCAAACATTCAATCCATACAAACATTCTCATAATTGTAGCTAGAGTTTACAAACATCCAAGTGAAAAATGATCTACTCCATGCCAGGAAAGAGGAAAACACAAGAGAAAAGAAGGAAAATCATCATGGAGATTGATAACGATGTATTTGCACATGTTTACACCCTTATTTCTTATCCGTTTGCGGCTCGTAGTCGTATATCTTTGGCCTATTTTACGCTGGGTTGTGCTATTTTTTCACATTTAAGGTCTCAGGCGTCGAAGGAAGGGCTAGGCACGAATTTCGGGGCATTTGGAGGTCTTCAGTGAAGCTGGGGCAAAACACGGGCAGACTACTCCAGAACACGGCCGTGTTCACTGAGGGGCACACCAGTGCTTTTTAGTGCGCGAGCTTAATCGATGCAAGGAGAAAACACGGGCGCCATTGACAAAAAACACGGTCGTGTCCCCAACCCATGTTGTTTATGCCAAGAGCTCTTTGGTGACTGTTGCAGAGGAGTCCAAAGCACGGGCGCAGCTGTTCTGAAATACGGTCGTGTCACTCCTAGGACACCCCCGTGTTTTACTCGACGCGAGCATGTACTTCCCCACGTGAGGACAGAACACGGGCGGACAAAGTTAAACACAGCCATATCCTCGACCGTGTTTCGCCCAGAATTGAGATAAAAGAGGCAGATTCGAGCCAAAGGGGGGAGATTTGACTTTTTAGAGCAAAAACAGAGTCCTAGAGAGAGAAAGTGCAAGAACAAACCCTAGGGTTGATTTTGGAGCTGGGTTTCATCAATCAAGCTTGGATTTCATCCTTGGAGGGAAGATTGACATCACAGAGCAGATTATTTCCATCTTTATGAGTATGACTCCTTTGAATTCTGTTTTCCTCTCTCTCTCTCTCTCTCTCTCTATGGAGTAGACCTTTCTCTCACTTGGGTATAAAGAACCCTAGTTCCATGTGTTAGGGATCTTGATTGAAATGACTTTTGGATTGAGACACTGTTTGATTATAATCGATTGAGGTGTGTTTATTGAGTCAATTGAATTCTGATCAACTTCTCTTGATTCCTGCATCAACCTGTGATAAATAGAATCTGAATAGGTTGTTAGAGCTTCTTCAATCGGTAGTAGTGAATTGATTATACAAGAGTTAATCGATTCACGGCTTTGCACTGGAATCGAATTACAGTAGTGGAGTTCTGTGTTAATTGCCTTAGTAGTCTATCACGGTGAGGGCTAGTCGCCCGCCAGTTAGTCTGTCTGAGAGGGCTTGGTCAGCTTAAGAGATTCCAAACTACTGTCGGATCTTCCGCAGCTAAATCAACAATAAATCAACCAAAGGAAATTACAACTTGTACCTAACTAAGGAGCTAGGGGGACTCAGTCCCAAGTGACTCTTCTCTTGCTTTTGAAAACCGAACAATTTCCTGCTTTCTTACTGCTTTTTCTTACAATCACTCTCACTAAACCGAGTCCCTCGAGATAATAGATAATCGTGGTGTAGGCTATGTATTTTCATCTGTGGCTATGTATTTTTCGAGTCGGGGCACGAATGGGGTTTGGCTGTTTGAAATCGTGGTTTTGAGATTGTACAGAGGCAGGCTCAACAGTAAAAAACGGGCGCCTGGGGTTGAAAACACGACCGTGTTTCTTCCCCTGTCTGCCCGTGTTTTGCCATTAACACTGCACAACCTCGCACTAAAAAACATGGGCGCCATGGGTTGAAAACACGGCCGTGTTTCGATCCCTGTCCGCCCGTGTTTTGAAATCAGGGAGAAAAACGCCTCGGACTGGTCTGGTCCC